TGGCTGTCAGTGACATTATCCCCTACGGCCAAAGGCCTAGGCTACATACCCCAAAAACGTACCTGTTAGGGCCAGAATCCTGGGCCCGGGGTAGAGCTCAAGGCTTGGAATCAGGAACAGATTCCTTTAAGGGGATACGACCAAGTGCCTAGCATCATACTAAGTCTTGGCCTGTCACACAGGGGCTACCGCTTGTCTCAACAGACTCCTAGTAGCAACACCCTGTTAAAGTAGGTATCCAGAGGATACATATGTGTAGTGGTGCCCAAGGTGGTGCCCAAGGCTTTAACCAACTCAAGAAAGGGCACGAAGTTGCCGCGCGTAACCCTCACCATACAAGATTTTAGAAAGAACGCAAAGTACTAGCGTGCAAACTTACCACAGTGTGGATTTTAGAAAGTGTACAAAGACTTCACGTGCACACTTACCATAGCATGGATTTCAAAGATACCATCCTAAGAGGCTCTCGTGGCACTCTGAAAGAGCAGCCCATAGATGGAAATGGTACATCACCAGAACAAAATGTTCGAGAAGCCATCAGCTCGATCTATGGTAAAATGCTGGAATGGCTAGCAGTAAGTTACCTAGCTGAGGGAGCAACACACCCAGCTCTCAGTCGAGAGGGGGCTCGACCTACAGCATGTTCGTTAGAAATCAGAAGGGTAAGCGTACTGCAAGCTTAGCCAAAAACTAGTTCGCCTGATGTTGCCGGTTCCAGGTGTGCTGGGAAAACAGAGAACTCGACTCTCGCATGAGAGTAGCGTGCTCATAGGCAACCCTTTGATAAAGGGGAGCACTGATAAACACTACCACGAGAACAGCCCACGGAGCGAGGAATCCAACTCCTCAGAAAAGGAGAGAATTCAAACGCTCGAAAGAAAGCACCATGCTCACAATAACCCTCAGTGGTGAAGGGAGCGATGCTTCAAAAGTGCGTCAACAGAGACACACTGGTTGAGTGGAGCCCAAGGCGAGTACCGGCTTAGTGTGTAAACTTACCATAGCATGGATTTAAGAGCTTCCCAAGCATCTGCTCACAGATGCCCGGAAGTACTGAGCCAAATGGGAGAGGCAAGCTCAAATACAACCCTCTAAGGCGAGGGGAGCACTGCCTGAGACAGCATTTCACAAGAAGGTTCTCGCAAATGCCACCTATACTTCCCGCTCGATGCCTCAGCAAGAGGGGATATCCTGGTGACCAGGAAGCCCCTCAGGGCGACCTAGATACGGCGTACCAGACAGGGCAGCCTGAAAGCATAAACCCAGCCCGGACGTCCAGGAAATTTTGCAGTGCCGTGCCGGGGGCCTGATGATCAAGAAGGCTCCCGCAGAAGCCTGTGATCTGGCCGCATTATCCAGGAAGCATGAAGCCAGAACCAGGGCTATCATACCGACTGGATACAACATCGACGAGTGAGGTAATCACTGCAAGTCGAGAACCCGGTTTCTGAATCCAGCAGAGGGGGACTCTGATCCTCAGACCAAGACGGGCCAGGACCCCTGGGTTGTTCGTGCTCAGACCTGGATCTTCGTGGAATGAAGGATTTGAAGGACGCTGAGCGTGCCTTCGCCTCCCTGAACTTCTCATCCACCATCGCAACGGAGGTACCGAAAAGTTCGGAAGGCGAAACCGGAGCATCGAGAAGAAAGCCCCTCTCTTTCTTCCCGATATCTGCCAGGTTCACCCACAGATGTCTCTCCATCACTACCATGGCCGCCATAGATCTGCCCATAGCAGAGGCGGCCTGCTTAGTAGCACGGAGAGCAAGATCCATGGTGCA